CGGCGCGCGCGCCTCGAGACTTGGAGGGCGCGCGCGGCTTGGAGTGCACGCGCGTTTCTTCTTCTGTTCTTCCATCTTCTTTTTTCTTCTATTTTTTCGTCTTCTTTCTTTTTTCTTTTTCTTTCTTCTTCTGTTTTTTCATCTTCTTCTTTTTATTTTCTTTTTTCTTCATCTTCTTCTTTTTTTTCATCTTCTTCTTTTTTCTTCTTCTCTTTTTTCTTCGTCTTCTTTCTTCTTCTTTTTTTTTTTTTTTTTTCTTCTTCTTTCTTCTTCTCTTTTTTCATTCTCTTCTTTTTTATTTGGTTGATATTCACCCCCTTGGGGATGTTTTATTTTTTGAGTAGGGAGATTATCCTCGTTCCTTGAGATGGGATGTGCACCCCCTTGGGGATGAGAGGTAAGGGTGATGCCCAACCTTAGGATGGGGATAACTGCCCACTGTAGGATGAGGCGCTCGAGACCTATGGTCTGAGGTTGATGCGCACGGTTGTGCCATTGAGTAGGGACGTGAAACACTTGAAAGGATGTGAAACCCCTTGGGGTTGAAAGGTCAGTGGATGTGCCACCCTTGAGAGGAGATGCCCAACTTTAGGATGGGATAGCCCCCTATTTAGGATGAGGCGATCACGAACCACTGGGGTGAGATGCCCCACCTTGGCGATATATGGTGCCACTGATTCAGTGGCAGCACGAGTTGAATCTTCCGTGATCATACGCTGAAGGTCTTCTTCGGTTATCTGAACCGTTCAAGAAGTAAGTAGAAATTGATCATGTTGAGGACCCAGTGGGGCCTCACGAGGAGGAGCGTTGGCTCCTACTATGACGAATGAAATATTTTGGGGGCGATGTGACCCCCAGGGAGTCGATAACCCTTGGCGAACGAAATATTTTGGGAGCAGATGTAAGCCCCCAGGGAGTCGATAACCCTTGGCGAACGAAATATTTTGGGGTCGATGTAAGCCCCCAGGGAGTCGATAACCCTTGGCGAGCGAAATATTTTGGGGGCAGATGTAAGCCCCCAGGGAGTCGATAACCCTTGGCGAGCGAAATATTTTGGGGGCAGATGTAAGCCCCCAGGGAGTCGATAACCCTTGGCGAACGAAATATTTTGGGGGCGATGTAAGCCCCCAGGGAGTCGATAACCCTTGGCGAGCGAAATATTTTGGGGGCAGATGTAAGCCCCCAGGGAGTCGATGGCGGTGGTGCCATAGGTGGCTCCACATGTGGAGCATGTGTTGGTATCGCGTTGGGAGCATTTGCTCCCATCGTGGCGATATATTAGGTCACGGCCTCTGTGGTAGCGCGAGTTGAAGCTTCTGCTATCATGCGTGGGAACGCATCCTCGGTTATTTGAACCATTCGAGGAGCAGGGAGTGGTGGATCGGCGAGTGGTGGGTCCCGAGGGGGGATCACCTGAACCTCGCAAGGCGGATCCATGGGATGTGGAGGAGGTGGCAAGCCAGAGCCTCCACGAGGTGGGAGGTCGTTAGCTGTGTCATTTTTTCTCCGAGCAGACGCCTCAGGAGGATCTTGTTGGCTACGTGATCTGGTTTGCATCGTTCCCACAGACGGCGCCAAAATGATGATGCTAAAATATTTAGATCACCTGGGGTAGTATAGAAAACGAACTGGGAGAGCAAAGCAGATCAGTAGCTTGACAACTTGATGATCCTGAGGTACCTGCGATCATAGAACACATAAGCTAAGCCGGGGGTTGATCCGGCGGAAACCCCTCCGACGCTCAAGTCAGACGTGCTGATCATAGAAATGGTCCAGAGAATACGTATTGTAGTATTGCTCAGTTAATAGGACGTACCTTAATAAAATGAGTAAAACCTCTATTTATATGTCGTTTATTGGGTTGGGTTTGCTTTGTTGGGCCCAAGCCTTACTTGAAGGTGTTTGGGCATCGGTGATATTGGTCTTCGATATTGGGCTCGTAGCCCAGTAGGTAAAGAAATTGTAGGCCCATTGGGTTGGCCCAATTAGGCATATCATATATATAATATATATAAAATGTATGTAAATGTGCATGTGTGTGTCAGTTTTGGTGCGTGATCCAATCAGTTGACGATTAACATTTAGTTTGCAGACAATAGTTTACAGCATCCGCTGGAAAAGTAAGACAAACCACACACCAGCTAATTAATCTTTTTGAGCATACAGCAAAAAATAAAAAAAAATTGCAGATTTTTCAAAGCAAAAAAAAGGTCCCATGTTATTATATTAATAATTAAATAATATATGAAAACAATAGTATATGTCTGTTTATTGCAACATTATTAGAACAAAGGCATCTTGAATATTTCGTTATCTTATCACCTTTTTATGAGGAAAAAATTAAAGGCAAAAGTTCAAATAACTCGAATATGGCCATTCCGTTGTATAGGGTTTTGTCTCTATAATTCTGTCATAGGCACAACCAACCCCCACCCCACCCCACCCCCCCAAGATGTCATGCATGTGGCTATACACTATTATCCACCATGCTTGTTTCAGTTCAACTTCAATCTTTGAAAAGATGTTGGAAAAAAATATGATGGATCGATTCTGTTTTTATTTACTCTTTTGCTTTTCTTTTCTTTTTTTGTCAAAGGTGGGTGGAGGGTCCAAAATGGGGTTGGAAATTTATTTAGCCTTTTTTTTTTTTTTTTAAATTATTAATTTATGTATAGAGTCTGCATTTGGAAATTGTGCCACGGTTTGGAATATATGGTGGTGGATAAGTCTAATTAGGATCAAGTGTCCACCGTTTATTGTATTCCAATATTCTATTTGGGATGGAAATCGGAAAAAAATTGAATTTTTTGAAGTGAAATACTAATTCTAATCTGTTCCAAAAAAAAGAAAAGGAAATTGAAATCGGCGGAATTCAAAAAGTTCCAATTTTGTAGTCACCTAAAATATAAAATGCATAATATTCCTGATATTATAAGTGCAAATTTTAGAGAGAAACAAATTCGAAATTCCGAAAACTAATATCCTATTAAAAATTGGAATCTCGTATATATTCAAACTCTGATAACAAAAATCGAAGAAATGGAATCGGGTCATTGGATGAAAAATGTTGTTGCAAAATCGAAAAAACTCAGATCTGAATCAATAGAAATCGAAACTTTGATTCCAATTTTCACCCCCAATCCTTCTCGATAAACTTCTTTTTTTTTGATAGGCCTTCTCGATAAACTTCGTGTATAAATAATTACACACTTTGCACATATACTGATATACATACAAGTATCCAATGTATTTCACTAAGCACTTATAGAGGGTATCTCTTCAACATTATTTCAGTAACAAATTCTTCAATATTCTTGTCCGAACTCCCTCCTAAATCAAGAGCCTCTCTAGCAATTCCCTTCCATTTCACCGCATTCGACCCAATTCTTTTCCCATCTTCACTCTCCATAACGCTCTTTACGCAACTCACTATCTCTTCTCGACTCACAATTCCATTACAATCCGCTCGAGCCCTCACTCCAACACCCCAAACATCCGTCACTAATTTAGCATTCGTACTCTGATCGGTCCACTGTGGCATAGCCACAAGCGGGACCCCCAAACTCAAACCCTCCAGAGTCGAATTCCACCCACAGTGTGTGACAAAACAACCCACCGCCATGTGGGACAACACCTCCAGCTGTGGGGCCCACGTCACTACCAACCCTTTCCGTGATTTCGAGAAATCTTCCGGAAGCTTTGACTCTTCGGTTGACCGGACCACCCACAGGAAGGGTTTGTTGGAGGTTGTTAGGGCGTAGGCTAGCTCTTTGGTTTGTCGAGCGGTTAGTTGGGCTAGGCTTCCGAAGGAAGCATAAATGACTGATTTGGGTTCTTGATTATCGAGCCAGTTCATGCAAGTGTTAGTCATTGGATTGAACATGTTGAGGCCGTATTCTTTGTCGTCTTGCAAACGTTTGTCTAAGTACATCGATGGTATGGTGGGTCCTATTGCCTTCACCCTCCAAAATCTCGACATCCATTCGAGTACCTATATATATATTAATCAACAAACATTACCCTAAGTTTCAAACTTAATTTGTCAACAAACTATAACTATAAATAGAATTTCTATCGATACAATAATACTAATGAACTTATTATGATTCTTCTACTTCTCGCTCCGCGTTCCAAGCTCGAGAGTTTGTTCCAAGGACTTCTTGTAATACTTAAATAAATTACAGTTAAACCTCTATAAATTAATACAGTCGGGACTGGCAAAATTCTATTAATTTAGCGAAATATTAAATTATCGAGCTAATAATTTAGTACGTTTTTACCGACTCGGGACCGTAAGAAATTATTATTTAAACGAGGTTATTAATTTATCGAATATTAATTTATCGAGGTTCTACTATACATGTTATATGGGATTTAGAAATTGTAATCCAATTAACTATCTTATAGCTAAACAAAAACCCGAACTTTACTCGAAACACAATATTAATTAACATTCAAGAGTTAAACTTGTCTAAGCGTTTGAAAGCTCTCGTGTATCGTATACTCGAAACTCGACTAATTTACACCTTTAGATAACTTTCATGTTACTCTGCATACACTCATTTGAGTATATGGATATGGTAAATAGATGCCCAAAATTCACACAGTCTAAACTCTAATCAATCAAATATATGAATTAAGTAAGCAATTTGTTAATTAATTCGAGAAGATTGAAATCAATGGCAAAGGTTTGAATTGAATTTTGATTACCTCTTGTTCCAATTTGTCAAACGTGTTGATAAGGATCCAATCCGCTTTGTCAACATTCCGGAACTGATTCAGAAGCATCTGGAAAGTTCCCGGGTACGACCCGTGGTCGTGAATGAAAGAAGGCATCTCTTCCGGTTTCATCGGCGGCAGCCCCGGAACCACCACCTCGCCGCCGGAGAGCGGCAGTTTGAGCTCCCCAGTGTACGCCTGATAATAGATGCTGTCCACCGCGCACGACTGCGTGAAAAACGCCGCCGCCAACAGTCCGAATCCCTTGGCCACGTCGAGAACCCAGGGGATAAACGGGTCGTAAACCACGCAGTCAACGGGGCGACCCGAACCCGCGAGATCCTGCAGGAGCTCAGCTAGTGTTTCTCGGCCGACTTGCTGAAACCGGGCCTGGTATTCCTCGGAGCTATTGGCATGAGCACGGCCGCCTTCGTCGAAACCGTCGGAGATGGATCGGGTCGAAATGGATCCGCCGGAGAACCCGGTCGTGGTTTTGAGTGTGAATTTGGTAAGTGCGAGAGTGATTTTAATTCGTTTGTGGGTTAAGCGCTTTGCGAATTGGAGAATGGGGTTTATGTGGCCTTGGGTCGGGTGGGGCAAGATTAAACAGTGTGCTCCATTTTCTTTCTCTGCATCTGTTACCTCCTTAATCGGTGATATCGGTAATGGCTCGAGTGTGGCCGAGCCATGACCGATAAATGGTGCCAAGTGGGGATTGGCACAAGGCAGCCACACAATCGGCCAATGAGTGGTCGAGTGTTCGGCAAGCATTTGGGGTGCTTGGCCGAGAAAAGCAAGGATCGGCTTGATTCAAGTGGGAACGGTGATCGATATTACTTGTGGCTGGCACGGGCGTTGCTCGGCAGCAAAGTCGGACAAAGCGTGGGCAATCATCGGCATGCGGCCGATAATGTGGGCAAACGAACGTTCGAGGGAAATCGACCACGACTTGACAAGTGTGGGAAAAATTGGCAAGGCAAGCAAGGCAGCCCGATGAGCGGGCGTGCCGATGACCGTGTGGGCAAAGAACTGGCAAGTAATCGGTAAAGGGAAGCAAAAGTGCGGAAAAGGCAAGGCAGATGGGCTGCCTAGCAACCGGCCGGGCTGTTTGGGCCGTTTGGCGCGCGTTCGCGGGCTCGTTCAAGTTGGGCTTCGGAAATCAGCCTTGTGGGCGGATTTGAGGAAGTTATGGAGCGGTTGAGGCCTGAAAATGCAAGAAAACTGCCCCTTATTACTTGTAATAGTTAGCCAAGTGTCATGTTTGTATGCTGCCATGTGTCCTTAGGTAGTTTTGTGTGAAAACTACCTTTTCCTTGTATTTATTTGGCTATGAGTGCACAAATCCGAGGCATCTAGTATCATCTAGCATATGAGAGTTCAGATTGCAATTGTTGGGCAATTCTGAGTGAGGATTTTGTGTGTGCACCTTAGTCTCCTTTGTATTCGTTGTGGGAATTAATATAAAGGTTGGGCATTGCCCGTAAACGTGTTTGTGTGTTTGTTTTCCGCTGCATACTCTTGTTCTCGTTTACGTGGCTTGAAAAGACTCGGTGATTGTACGTTTTGTGCGAAGAGAATCGTGAGGAAGGCTGACTGGTTTGGTGGGCAAATCAGGCCGTACAAGGGAAAATTTCGGTGATAAATTAACCCCTGTAACAGTTGGTATCAGAGCCCGGTTCAAGGGTTCTGAACGTGTTGCTGTTCGGCATGGCTGACGATTCTGGATCTTCGACAAATCCAAATCCAACTCGTGTGATGATGCTAGAGATGGAATCAAGACTGCAACGTCTTGAAGCCTTGGTTGGGCCGCCCCTAGACCCAACGGATCCACCGATCTTACAAAGACTTGCTGATGGGAAGCGAGATATTGATCGTTTGTCAAGATCGTTGGACGATCTGCCCGAATTTGTGGAGGGCAGATTCACGTCCGTTGCCGAGGAGATGGGACTCCTCATTGATGCCGTTGAGACGAAGCTTGATGGGATGCTTACAGATCTGGCGGTGCTTAAGAGGGCTGTTCGTAATGAAGGTTCGAGTTCTGAGGGCAGAACATCGGGATCCAAGGTTCGTGTGCCGGAACCGACTGCGTTTGATGGCGAGCGCAGCGCCAAAGAAGTCGAAAACTTCGTGTGGTATATGGAGAATTACTTCGAGGCAGCGAAGGTTCCGGATCGCGAGAAAGTTACCATTACAAGCATGTATCTAGTGGGGGATGCAAAATTGTGGTGGCGTGCTCGTTTGTCAGACGATGCAAGTGCCAACCGAGTCAAGATCGAGACTTGGGAGGTGCTGAAACGGGAGTTGAAAGAGCAATTCCTACCTTGCAACGTGGGATGGATTGCAAGGGAATCCCTTCGGCAATTGAAGCACAAGGGAACCGTGAGGGAGTATGTCAAGGAATTCAGTTCTCTGCTCCTTGACATACGAGACATGTCCGATGAAGATAAGTTATTCAACTTCATGGCTGGATTGCAGCCATGGGCCCAAACCGAGTTGCGGAGACAAGGTGTGAAGGATCTGCCAAGTGCTATCTCGGCAGCGGACCGACTTGTCGATTACAAGGTGATGGGGGCCGATGATTCCGATAAGGAAGGCTCGAAGAGGGATAAGTCCAAGAGGAAGAAGTTCGGTGGCAAGGGTGGCCGAAATTGGAAGCAAAAAGAAAGCGGTGATGGCGAGGGATCCACGGTGCATGCCAAGACCGGTGGACAGCCCGTCGTCAACAAACAGAACCGTGGGTGCTTTCTATGTGATGGCAACCACCGAATGAGGGACTGCCCTAAAAGGAGCAAGTTGAATGCTTTGATGCGGGAGTCGGATAGTGAGGATTCGGACGAGGCGAGGAGTGCGAATCCGATCCAATTGTTGAGTGCTTTGGTCGTGGACAAGGCACCCAACGGCACCAAGGGCTTGATGTATGCCACGGTGCTGATCAACGGCAAAGAGGTGAAGGCTATGGTTGATTCGGGAGCAACTCATAACTTCGTTGCCGAGAGAGAAGTCAAGAAGCTGGGCTTGACTCTCTCAAAACATGCAAGTCAAGTGAAGGCTGTAAATTCAGAGGCGGGGCCGGTGAGAGGCAGAACCGATGTCGATCTTGTGATCGGTTCTTGGAAAGGGCAGTGCGGGTTGACTGCCGTACCACTAGACGATTTCGATGTGATATTGGGGCAAGAGTTCCTACTTGCTGCCAAGGCTGCGGTGATACCGTTTCTCGGAGGGCTGATGATTATGGACGAAGAGCGTCCATGTTTCGTTGAATGCTCGTACGTGACGAAAGCAAAAGCGGGAAAGAGACCGGTGAAAATGTTGGCTGCGGTGCAATTGGAGGCAGAATCGAACGACGAGGAGTCATCGAGCCTAATTGCAGCCGTTGGAAACAAGACGGTGAATTCTCGGGCTGGTTTGCTTGTACGTGCATTGCCGAGGAATGAGTCGAGGGCAGAAGGCAAGTTGAGGTATTCATTTGGGTTGATGAATGGGCATTGTGGCCTTACTTTTGTTCTAAGTTGCTGCCGTGTGTGGCACAACTCGTGGGTTCGAAATGTGGTATTCTCTGAATTTCTGTGGCATGTTGGGTTTTTTGTGGGCTGGTTTCTGTTGTGGATGAAATGGAAGCCGTGCTTGGGTGATTTTCGTGGGCTGGAGATCTCCTTTCTTGGTTGGCTGGGCAATCGAGATAAAATACTAGTTGTGCCAAAAACTAGTATTTTCACTTGTGGATGGGTGCTGCCGTTTGAACGTTGTTGGCGTTCGCTTTTCCGAGGGCTGAAAGAATTTGTGGGAAATTCGTGGGATCAGACTTGGGATATTTTGGGTTTCGATGAGGCGCTGGTGCTCAAGCACAATCGAAAACGGTGGCAAGACAAGTGGAAACGAGGAACAGATGAAGCCGATGGTGTCGGTTCGACGAGGGCGTCGAACACCGTTGGTGGGGGAGGTCTGTTACCTCCTTAATCGGTGATATCGGTAATGGCTCGAGTGTGGCCGAGCCATGACCGATAAATGGTGCCAAGTGGGGATTGGCACAAGGCAGCCACACAATCGGCCAATGAGTGGTCGAGTGTTCGGCAAGCATTTGGGGTGCTTGGCCGAGAAAAGCAAGGATCGGCTTGATTCAAGTGGGAACGGTGATCGATATTACTTGTGGCTGGCACGGGCGTTGCTCGGCAGCAAAGTCGGACAAAGCGTGGGCAATCATCGGCATGCGGCCGATAATGTGGGCAAACGAACGTTCGAGGGAAATCGACCACGACTTGACAAGTGTGGGAAAAATTGGCAAGGCAAGCAAGGCAGCCCGATGAGCGGGCGTGCCGATGACCGTGTGGGCAAAGAACTGGCAAGTAATCGGTAAAGGGAAGCAAAAGTGCGGAAAAGGCAAGGCAGATGGGCTGCCTAGCAACCGGCCGGGCTGTTTGGGCCGTTTGGCGCGCGTTCGCGGGCTCGTTCAAGTTGGGCTTCGGAAATCAGCCTTGTGGGCGGATTTGAGGAAGTTATGGAGCGGTTGAGGCCTGAAAATGCAAGAAAACTGCCCCTTATTACTTGTAATAGTTAGCCAAGTGTCATGTTTGTATGCTGCCATGTGTCCTTAGGTAGTTTTGTGTGAAAACTACCTTTTCCTTGTATTTATTTGGCTATGAGTGCACAAATCCGAGGCATCTAGTATCATCTAGCATATGAGAGTTCAGATTGCAATTGTTGGGCAATTCTGAGTGAGGATTTTGTGTGTGCACCTTAGTCTCCTTTGTATTCGTTGTGGGAATTAATATAAAGGTTGGGCATTGCCCGTAAACGTGTTTGTGTGTTTGTTTTCCGCTGCATACTCTTGTTCTCGTTTACGTGGCTTGAAAAGACTCGGTGATTGTACGTTTTGTGCGAAGAGAATCGTGAGGAAGGCTGACTGGTTTGGTGGGCAAATCAGGCCGTACAAGGGAAAATTTCGGTGATAAATTAACCCCTGTAACAGCATCCATGGTGGAAATTGGAATAAAATTTGCAGTCTTGAGTAATTAATATCTCAAAAGGGACCAAAATTGCAAATAATAAAATCTAATGGGACCAAAATGCAAAATCTAGTATGTATAAACATATTCCATTTCCTTTCATTATATTGTGTGTTATATTGCATGCATCTATTGTATGCACAAATTAAGGAATGATTAGAGATAATTACAAGATAATAAGAAATTAAATTCATCCTATTCTGTTAATCATAAATAAAGTTGAAGTTTATCAACCAGATTGGTACATAATTAATGCACATTTTTGTCTTCCAAAAGGAGTTAATAGCATAGACCCCATTTTTGACACGTATGTGTTGAAAATTGTATGTGTTTACTTTCTAAATATTTTACTTACGTAATCGATAAAATCGAATGTATCCAACAATAATTAATCAATATTCACTGTTCGACAAACATATTTATCAAATAATCATACTTTATTGGCTAATTTAACAAACTTTTGAAGCAAACATACTTGTGTGTTTAAATATTTTTTAAATATTAAAAATATACAACATATTTTTGTTTCAAAAATCAAGGGTCATCACAACTACTCAAAAAAATTAAGATCAATGAACATAACTAAAAACAAAGTAAAAAATATTATGCTGATTTTTCATATATAATATTTTTATTGGTGCCTTACAATAAAGTCTCTTCATCGGCCTGAAAATATTTTGAAAAGGATTTTCTAAAGAAAGAAAGGTGAAACCCAAACGCCTAAACCCGTATACCCGAACGTATAAACGGGTTTACATACCTAATCCCTAATCTCATTAATCAGTTGCAGATGAAACCTTCGTCATTTTCCTAGGGTTTTCACTCTTCCACGCTCGGAAATTCACAGAGGGAATCCACGGGATAAACGTGTCGTTAACCACACGCTGTCAACGAGGCAACCCGAGCCCGCGAGATCCTGCAGGAGCTCCACTAGTATTCCTCGGAGCTGTTGGCTCGAGCACGACCGCGTTCGTCGAAACCGTCGGAGATGGATCTGGCCGAAATGGATCCGCCGGAGAACCCGGTCGTGGTTTTGGGTTGGAATTTGGTAAGTGCTAGAGTGATTTTAATTCGATTGTGCTAGAGTATGATATTTTGCCTTGATTTCTCTCTTTGGGGATGTTTTACCTTGGTTATTCCTTAAGATGATTGTGTATTGCGGTTACTCTTACGACAATGTTTAATTGGATGATATGCTTATGTTGTCTTCAAATCAAATGTATAAGTTTGTCATATTTGTATTTTCTAGTTGATTAAGCTGATGTTTGATCTTAATTACTCTCTAAGATGATGGTTTACCTTGGTTATTCCTTAAGATGATGGTTTATTGCGGTTACTCTTTTAGGCAATGTTTAGTTGTCTTACAATCAATGTATAAGTTTGTCATATTTGTATTGTTTAGTTGATCCGTTTGTGTTTCCTCAATCATACAGCATTGACTGTGAGAAATTTCTGGGAAATTGTAATGTAATATGCTGGTGGTTGCCTGAAATTGAGTCCTATATGTGACAGTTAGTTCATAGAGTGACTCATATTGTGGTTACTAATTAAAGCTTTTGTACTTGCAGACAACTTTCGAATGACTGATGAAGGCTTTTGGATTCCTAACTCCAGACGAACACTTGATTTTCAAAAACACGATAAATGAACCGAGTTGTTAGGATGTTCGTATAGGTAATTTTCAGTTCGTTTACAATTTTCTAAGTAATAAAATATCATGTCGATTATGATTTGTAATTTCTCGCTGACATTTCAACATTTTGTAGGGGAATGTTGGCCGCTTGCTTTAGAAGTTGTTCAGAACGCAGCTGTATCATGCATTCTTCCGAAGACCAAGTCAACGGTGTACAATTGATGAAACCATGACACTCAGTTTGTGTCGGCATTTTCCAAGGTGAACATCTTTTTATTTTCTGTTAGTCATGTATGAAAATTTATAACCTGTAGTCTCTCTTGTTTGTGTATTGTAAGCATTGTACCTACTTCAACCAATTTCTTAACGATGTAACTCATTTTACCACTATACCAAATTAACATGTTTTTGAACCACTAAACAAACTTTGACTCATTTTTGACCGGCTTCACCTGGTTTTGAAACAAAAATCACTTTGTTTTGGAAATTACTTCTCATTTTCACCTCTTTGATCCATTTCTCGACCCGGAGAACTTATTCCGACTCTTCTTGATCTCTCTTTAGCCTTCTTGATTAGGTCTAGCAATATATAAAAAAGCTTTATCCTCTTTGAACCGTTTTCAACAAAATTTACGTTTTTGAAAAAAATCTCCCCATTTCCACCGTTTTAATACATTTCTTGAAAAATATCTCCCCATGTTTCAGCTAAATGATTTAATAAGTTTCTCAATCTTTGAGTAAACTTATACCGACCATTCTTCATCTCTTTACTAGATCAAACTACCCTTTTCTTGAAACATTTCAACTATGTTGCTTGTGACTTGTTCAAATCATTTTTTTCTGTATGGCCTGATTTTCAAACCCTCTAACCCATTTTAATTGACTGTACCAACCGTTGAACAAACTATCCTCTTCGGCCCTCGTTTTGCAATAATGCTTTTGCTAATATGTGGGTATTTGTTTTTCAAATTATGATGTTTTTCAGTTCAGTCAGAAGGGTTGAAAGAGATACTAAACATTATTAAACTATCTCCTTAAATGCCAGTAGTGATTTCCATAAGTGCTTCTCTTACAGATGAGTAAAGCCACTTTTTGCGATTCATAACTTACAGAGAACAAGTCACAAGTCAGAACATAATCATGCATAAGAACATTTGAAATCCATAATAACCAAATAATAAATCCATTGAGTTTGTTTGGATTGAGTCATTTGGCAAATTACAGTTAGTTCTCTTGTTTGAAATGATCTGGCAAATGACAATTGTTAGTTCTCTCGTTTGAAATCCATTGAGTTTGTTTGGATTGAGTCATTTGAAATCCATAATAACCAAATAATAAATCAAGATTGTTAGTTCTCTTGTTTTCTAGTTATTTCTTGAGCAATTGGTGTGAATTTTCATATTGTTATTTTGTCATGAATATGACCTGGACTTAAATGGCACTTGTTTAATTTGGCAGGGCAAGCAGTTGGAAGTGATAGGTCAAAGGCTCAAAGCAGAGCTGAAGCGAGGAGAAGAGCCGCAAAACAATGCAAAAGCTAGGAATGAAGCCCATCCTCGGAGTCAGCCGAGTCACTGTCAACACTTCAAATATTTCTTGCATGGTATTTTCAGATCCTTTTCATAATCTCACAGCCGGATGTTTTGAAAAGGCCACGTCAGAAACATTTATTTACAATTTTCTTTTTCACTATATAATAATGAGGATTTCAATTGCAGATTCGTAGAAGGTTTGCTTGCATGAACGCTGTTGCCGGAGTTTGCCATGGAGACTTGAAGCCTCAAAATGTCTAGGTATGCTTAGGAGATCGTTTAAATTAATGAATTTGTGTAAAGATAGGCTCTTCTTATTGATACGACCAATTTCTGTATAGGTCGACCCGGTGAACTCGTCAGGTGAAAATATGCGATTACGGAAGTGCAGAAGTACAATAGTAAGTGGCACTCCTCTATGTTCCATGCCTATTCAGCCTCTTTGTTTTGTGATTTGTTCTTTTGGACCATTATAACCTCCTGCATCATTCTTTCACATACATATTTGGTCTTTGTTCGTCCTAGTTATTTTTTTCTCTCTCGTTTCGGAAAACCTGACTAGGTTTTATGTGTATTATAAATAGGTGAGAGTTGAAGGAAATATATCTTACGTTTGCTTGCGATTTGAGCTTCTTTTGGGCCAAGTGAATAGTAGCATTACAATTTATGCCATAACTTAAGCACTCGCTTTTCTTCTACTTTCTGTGTATTATATTTTATATTCATATGTATTTGGTCTGACTTTAAAATACAAATTACATAGCCACTATCTACTGGGGAGAATGCTATGGATCAAAACCAAGGATTCAACCATCACTAACGAAAGTAATGAAAAGGTATGCTTCCTAAGTGTCCATTATTTTGAGAATGTACTAGATCTCTTGACAAAATGTGTGGAAAACTTGGTTATTTATTTTCAAAATTTAATTAAATGGGGCCGTCGACTCCCCTTATTTTATTATTTGCGCCTCTAAGCCAAGGATTCCTCCATTCTGTTCAAGTTGAACCGAGCCTCTAGTACAATCTTTTTAATGGCACCCCTTTTCCTAGTTAATATGTGTGTGGTTCTTACTTTAATTTATTTATTTTATCAAATATGCTTTTTAGTAGCATTATAACGTAGTTCGAAAATTGAAGTTTAACATGATTGGTTAGTCTAAATGCTTATCTCCGTTTGTGATTTATGTGGTGTTTGATCATGAGCTCTAGAATTCGTATGTTGGTATGTTTTTTTGTTTTGTTTTTCTTCTATTGATTCTTAATGTAAGCCAAGTCAGCTAAATAAAAGCCCATATGTGTAAATGGGAATTTTGTAATAAGGTAGGCTATGTAGAATATACCACTAGATCTAACCTTTGGCTCAAGGTTGGATCACATACGATTGGGCTCTTGATCATTCACAAATTTTTGCATCGCATGCTATGTTTTGTTTACTTTATAATTAATTAATGTTTGAATGCGGAAGTTAAATTTTAAGCCACAAAACAATTAGCAATCGTAAACAAATTTTTGATGTTTGAATGTTTAACTAACATTAAAGACGTAAAAAGATGTAACCATTGTAAACAAATTTTCGATGTTGGAATCTAACTAACATTAAAGACGTAAAAAGATGTAACCATCATTTTAACTATAAAAAGTCTTTATGAACTCTTTGCAAAACTATAACATATTTAGGTTTCTTGAAAAAAAATTCATGAACTGCTCATATTTTCGAATATCTGTTTATGAGCCTATAAAATTTTGGAACTATTTGAAAAAATAATGTGTTAAGAGCTAAATAAAGTGAAAATTTCAAGAGCTAAAAATATGTTGTGATTGTATTAACTTATTGGGCCTGCGTTGAATAGGCATAGTATAATTAGACTGTACCACGATGGGTTATGCATTTAAACTAATGTATTAGGTCATGTTTTAAGAAGAAAATAATGTAGTTCAGTGATTTGTTTTGCACTTGAAGAACTTTTGAATAATAAAAAAAGGGCATCGTTACATCTATTAGTAAATTTAATATTTACTATTCATTTGCAGATTAATTTAATTGATAAATACATGTTGGGCCCAAACCAATATTTTCCCACTGAATCGGTTTGCACTTCTGAAAGAGTAACCTCAAGAAACCCGCTCAAGATACGTCGCAGGCTAAACGCACGAACAAATTTTGAAGCCCCCCACCAAACATACTGCTTCAAAAACTATACAATAAGTTGGCCTTGGCTGGTTGGGCTGGTTCTAGTTGGACCTGGGATAAACTGGTACCTTAAGAAGTTATACTATGCCCATGAAAACCATTTGAAAGCTGACTTGGCCTTGGGCCGTTAAAAAGTTTTAGTGGGCCTATGAAAAATGAGTATTTCGCCCGGTAACTGATTAAGTTGGTGGGCCTTTAAAAGGTAATACTATTAAAAAGTGTATTTTGTCGTTAAAAATCAGTATTCGGGGCACAACGACCTCCACCGCCATTAAAAAGCTGTATCGAGCCGCCATTATGAAGCACCAATATTGGGCCCAAAAAAAACCATGCTTTGGCCCCGAATTGATCCGTTAAAAAGCTGTAGTGGACAAATTAAAAAAGAAGAGGTTGGGCACATCCGAGCTTTCGTAAGCCGAAACACAGTTTTTTTGTGGGCCCAATAGTGTTTTCCATGGGCCTAACACCGTTTGGTTATGGACACCACTTATTATTAGGGATATATAAAATTTAGTGGGCCCATTTCCTATTTCTTGGATAAACTTTAGGTTTATATTTGCCCGTTACAACTTCAAACGTTACAACTTCAAACGTAATTTTTGGAACAGCCGTGTAACAGATTCGCGTTTAATCAGGACTCCCGTTTTTTTATGGAGCAGATTTACAGTATAAATAGTAATTTGAAGTTTCAAATTATTAGAACCAGTTAGTTTTTTTTTTTGAGTAATAGAACCAGTTAGTTATATCAATTAAATGTTTATGTAAATTATGTGCATTTTAATAAAATATCATTCCACAATAATTCCAAATTATAGTTAAAATTACAATTACGTCTTTTTACAGCTTTAACGTTATTTAAACACTCCAACATCAAAATTTTGTTTAGGGCTTCTGATTGTTTTTGGGCATTGAATTTTACTTCCGCATTCAAACATTAACTAACTATAAAGAAAAAAAAACATAGCATGCGATGCAAAAATTTGTGAATGATCAAGAGCCCTATCGTATGTGATCCAACCTTGAGCCAAAGGTTAGATCTAGTGGTATGTTCTACATACCCTATCTTATTACAAAATTCCCATTTACACATATGGGCTTCTAATTAGCTGACTTGGCTTACATTAAGAATCAATAGAAGGAAAACAAAAAAACAAAAAAACAAAAAAAAAAAAAAGAGAGAGAGAGAGAGAGAGAAGACATACCAACAACATACGATTTCTAGGGCTCGTGATCAAACACCACATAAATCACAAATGGAGAAAAGCATTTAATAGTACCAATCATGTTAATCTTCGATTTTCGAATTAAGTTATAATGCTACTAAAATGCATATTTGATAAGTAACTTAAAGTAGGAATCACACAAATAATAAGTAGGATAAGGTGCCATTAAAAAGATTGTACTAGAGGCTCGGTTCAACTTGAACAAAATGGTGGAATCCTTGGTTTAGAGGCGCAAATAATAAAATAAGGGGAGTCGACGGCCCCATTTAAATAAACTTTTAAATAAATAACCAAGGTTTCCACACATTTTGTCAAGAGATCTAGTACATTCTCAAAATAATGGACACTTCGAAAGCATACCTTTTCATTACTTTCCGTTAATGATGTAGTGCACCAATATTTTAGCTGTTACAAAACGAAAATTATTACGAAACCAACAAAATACAAAGTAATATTTAACATACACCTGTTAAAGAAAGGGGTATTATAACATACCTGCACAATTTAATTCAGATCATCCTCGTGATATCAAGAAAATCTGAATCAAACCACCCATGAAAGGATCCCAATGCGTGCCAGTATCCTAAAAGATTAACTTATGTAAGGAAGCAGATAAACGTGAATGAAAATGCACAACCTTCAAAACAAAAAAATGATTATCAATTTGAAAAAAAAACATACCACTGAATACGTTTAGAAGAGGGAAATGTTTCCTCCTCTATGCTAATTATTAATAGTCTACTCGCCAAAAAACCTGAAAGAAGGCAACAAAGTACAGATTAAAGAACTGCAGAGAAAATAAAACACGGTCAACTATCGGAACTGGAACGATCTGCTAAGCATACCAAGACATTTTGAGGCTTCAAGTCTCCATGGAAAACTCCGGCAATAGCGTGCATGCAAGCCAATCTCCTAAGAATCTGCAATGCAAATCCTTATTATCATATAATGAAACAAAAGATTGTAAATAACCGACCTTTTACAAAGAAAAGCATCACTTACCTGCTGGTATAAAGTTTCAAGTTAACCAAATTGATCATCGAGGCTTCATCAACGGTACACTGTCCACTTGATCTTCACATGAATGCATGATTGGGGAAAAAGGGTTTCGAAAATCGATTTTGATGAGCGAAAATGGTTTGGATATTTCAAAAATAGTTGAACTGGTGCAAGATAAAGTAATTCGATCACACTAGTTCCGAATAGGGTCTAACGTTTGAAAAATAAATTAAACCAGAAAAAAGTGTTGATACAAATAAATGAAAATTATCGAAAAGGGGTTATGGGAAACCAACGTACTTGCTCTTCTTGACAGTGACTCGGCTAACTCCAAGGGTGGGCTTCATTCCAAGCTTTTGCATTGTCTTGTGGCTTTTCTCCTCGCTTCAGCTCATCTTTGACCTATCACTTCCATCAGCTTGTCCTGCCAAATTAAACAAGTGCCATTAAAGTCCAGGTCGTATTCATGACAAAATAAAAATATGAAAAAATTCAAACTCAATGAAAACGAGAGAACTAACAATCTGAAATCCATTATCATTTGCCAAATGACTCAATCCAAACAAACTCAATGGATTTATTATTTGGTTATTATGGATTTCACATATTCTTATGCACGTACTACAACAGATGGATTAGTTAAGCATGATTATGTTCTGACTTGTGACTTGTTCTCTGCAAGTTATGAATCGCAAAAAATGGCTTTACTCAATCTGAAAGAAAAGCACTATATGCATTTAAGGAGATAATTTAATAATGTTTAGTATATCCTTCAACACTTCTGACTGAACTGAAGAACATCATAATTTGAAAAACAACTACCCGCATATTAGCAAAAGCATTATTGCAGCACGAGGGCCAAAGAGGATAATTTGTTAAAAAGGTTGGTACAGTCGATTAAATGGGTTAGAGGGTTCGAAAATAAGGCCATACAGAAAAAATGATTGGAACGAGTCACAAGCAACATAGTTGAAATGTTTCAAGAAAAGGGTAGTTTGATGCAGAATCAGGTAAAGAGATGAAGAATGGTCTGTATAAGTTTACTTACAGATTGAGAAAATTATTGAATCATTTAGTTGAAACATGGGGAGATTTTTTCAAGAAATGTATTAAAACGGTGGAAATGGGGAGATTTCTTTCAAAAACGTAAATTTTGTTGAAAACGGTTCAAAGAGGATAAAGCTTTGTTTATATTGCTAGACCTAATCAAAAAGGCGAGAGAGATCAAGAAGGGTCGGAATAAGTTCTCCGGGTTGATAAATGGATCAAAGAGGTGACAATGAGAATTAATTTCCAAAACAAAATCATTTTTGTTTAAAAAACAGATGAAGTCAGTTTAAAATGAGTGAAAGTTGGTTTAGTGGTTCAAAAACATGTTAAATTGGTTTAGTGGTAAAATGAGCTACATCGTTAGGAAATTGGTTAAAGTAGGTACAATGCTTACAATATACAGACAAGAGAGATCACAGGTTGTACAGTACGAACAAGAGAGAGACTGCAGATTGCAAGTTTACATACATGATTGACAGAAAATAAGGATGTGCACCTTGGAAATGCCGACACAAACTAAGTGTGATGGTTTCATCAATTGTACACTGTTCACTTGGTCTTCGGACGAATGCATGATAAAGAAAGACGCCAACATTCCCCTGCAAAATGTTGAAACGTTAGCGAGAAGTTACAAATCATAATCAACATGATATTTTATTACTTAGAAAATTGTAAACAAACTGAAAATTATACCTATAGGAACATCCTAATAACTCAGTTCATTCCTCGTGTTTTTGAGAATCGAGTCTTCTTCCAAAAGTCTGGAGTTAGGAATCCAAAGGTCCAAAAGTTGTCTGCAAGTACAAAAACTTTAATTAGTAATCATAATAGAGGACTCAATTTCAGGCAACCACCAGCATATTACATTACAATTTCCTAGATAATCAATGCTGTATGATTGAGGAAACACAAACGGATCAACTAAACAATACAAATATGACAAACTTATACGTTGATTGTAAGACAACTAAACATTGTCTGAAAGAGTAACCGCAATAAACCATAAGGAATAACCAAGGTAAACCATCATCTTAAAGAGTAATTAAGATCAAACATCAGCTTAATCAACTAAAATATGATAAACTTATACATTTGATTTTAAGACAACATAAGCATATCATCCAATTAAACATTGTCGTAAGAGTAACCGCAATACACAATCATCTTAAGGAATAACCAAGGTAAAACATCATCGTAGAGAGAAATCAAGGCAAAATATCATACTCTAGCACAATCGAATTAAAATCACTCCAGCACTTACCAAATTCTCCGGCGGATCGATTTCGGCCAGATCCATCTCCGACGGTTTCCACGAAGGCGGTCGTGCTCAAACCAATAGCTCCGAGGAACACTAGCGGAGCTCCTCCAGGATCTCGCGAGCTCGGGTTGCCCCGTTGACAGCGTGTGGTTAACGACCCGTTTATCCCGTGGATTCTCTCTGAATTTCCGAGCGTGAACGAGTGAAAACCCTAGGGAAATGACGAAGGTTTCATCTGCAAACGATTAACTGATTAATAAGCTTAGGGATTAGGTATGATTAATCTGTTTATACTTTCGGGTATACGGGTTTGACCTTTGGGCTTCACCTTTATTTAGAAAATCCTTTGCAAATATTTTTAGCCCGATGAAGAGACTTTATTGTAATGCCCAAATAAAAATATTAAATATGAAAATCAGCATAATATTTTGGGTAAATTACAACCACCTCAGTCCCTGAGGTATGGTTAAATTATGAAAACCCCCATCTTGTTTGGATAATTACAACCACCCCATCAACTCATCGAATTTAGTGGAATCTTCAAGATTATATGGAATATTATCACTTTTGTACCTGTTTTATCTTATTCGAACTCTACATTTTGAAGCAAGATGATCGTAATATGTGTTTTTTGGCTTGTATATATATCAGATTGTGGTGCATCAGAAACTGTATTTTTACACAAAATGAGTACAAACTATAGCACATTTCACATAATCTAGATGATTATGTTGAATTTGTCACCATAAGGGTGGAGGTGTAAGAAAAAATCATAGTTGAGAGGTAGATGTAATTATCCAAACAATAGGGGTTTTTTCGTAAATTGATCATACCTCGGTGGGGTTTTTGTAATTTACCCCTAATATTTTTTATAATTTGTTTTTAGTTATTTTAACTGAAATGCTAAATACCATACGTATAATTAAATTATTTTTTCTCTCTAAAAACACAATAGCCCAAAAACGTTTCTCCCCACCCCTTCAATATAGCTCTTCGTTTTCCCTTATACTTGCAGAAAAACATCATAAAACAACCTTATATTTGAGATTTAATTTAGACCCGAAGAAATTATTCACAAATTTATTCCACTGTTAAAGTAATCATTTTATCTTTACCAACTAATTTTTTTTTCTATTTGAATTAACATCAATTTTTTATGTTACGGGGATTTTTTGAGGAAAACAAATTTTGGTGAAGAAGTTTGTTAAATTAAAGTATAATTATTGACTAATTTTTTGGTGGTGCGCTTGGATTGTTCTAACATTTCTACCATATAAATTTTGGAATTTTATTACTATTTGTATTTAAAATCGACTCTAAAAGTTTATTATATTGCAGTCCATTGATTGTATTGGATTTAAATACATACCAAAATAAAAAAATGACAACTAAGCAATTGAACAACACACGTAAGCAATTTAGTGCGAATGAAGTGATTTAGTAAAAGTAAAACGTTATAATAATTTGTCACATGTCATTCGTTTAGCCTATCAATTCTCTTATATATATATACAGTTAAACCTCTATACAATAATACAGTTGGGACCAGTCAAATTCTATTAATTTAGCAAAATATTAATTTATCGGAATATTTTTTTAGCATGTTGTCTTCGAGTGGGGACCGAAAAAATATATTATTTAAACAAGGTTATTAATTTATCGAGGTTATGTATATATATAGTTTTTATTTACAATAAAAGTCTCCTCATGGGCTGAAAAAACACTTTGAAAATATTTGTTTGGTCTTTCTAAGAAGAAAAGCAGAATGAAGCCCAAAGGCCCAAACCGTATTACCCAAAGTATAAATAAGACTCATAAAACCTAAGCCCTAAGCCCATTTATCAGTTCATCATTTGCGTATAAAACCTTGCGTCAATTTTTTCTAGGGTTTTCACTCTTCTCACGCTCGCATTCATTCTTCGCCTCTCATTTTCCCTCACATACTATCGACCCTTAGTCCAGAATCATGGCGGACCGTGGAGCAGGAGGAGATCGTGGCGGTTTCGGACGCGGCTTCGGCGGTGACAGAGGCGGCCGTGGGCGCGGCGGAGACCGAGGCGGCCGTGGCCGTGGCGGCCGCCGCCCTCGCCGTGAAGCCGAGGAGGAGAAGTGGGTCCCAGTGACGAAGCTCGGCCGTTTGGTGAAAGACGGTAAGATCAAATCCATTGAGCAGATCTACCTGCACTCCCTCCCAATCAAGGAGTCCCCAATCATCGATGCTCTGGTGCCGGCGTTGAAGGACGAGGTCATGAAAATCATGCCGGTCCAGAAGCAGACCCGAGCCGGACAGAGGACCCGGTTCAAGGCCTTCGTTGTTGTCGGTGACGGAAACGGCCACGTCGGACTCGGAGTGAAGTGCTCGAAGGAGGTGGCGACTGCAATCCGTGGCGCCATCATATTGGCTAAGCTCTCTGTCATTCCTGTGAGGAGAGGTTATTGGGGTAACAAGATCGGAAAGCCACACACAGTGCCGTGCAAGGTCACCGGAAAGTGTGGATCTGTCACCGTGAGGATGGTTCCGGCGCCTCGTGGAGCTGGAATTGTGGCGGCGCGTGTGCCTAAGAAGGTCCTTCAGTTTGCTGGAATTGAGGATGTCTTTACCTCCTCCCGTGGATCCACCAAGACACTCGGAAACTTCGTCAAGGTCCAACTTTTATTTCTGCATTCGATTTTAAGTTTCTATTCTTTTATTGCTATTTCATATTCAATTATAAATGCTGTATAGTTTATTTTGTCTATTGTTTGATTTTATTTATTTAGTTTATGATGTTGGTAACGAGCTTTACAGTTTGCCTATTTTGTTCTGTGTTAATTATGTTACTGTTTAATGTTATGTGGCTTATGTAAAATTGTTGTTAGATGATATTGTGATTTGGTATGTTGGGCTCGATGATGTTTCTTGATCGAATCATTTTAGCTCTCGTGATAATTAATCGGCTGTTTCTTGATTACTCCTTAAGATGATGTTTTGTTCCGATTACACTTTTCGATGATTGTTGTCTTGATTACATTTATGTTGATTACTCTTTAGGATGATGTTTTGTTGTGATTGCTCACTAAGATGATGTCTCAACTCTTGCAATCCTTATATTTAGCTGATCTGTTTGTGTTTCGGCAATGATATATACAGTGTTCGTCTCTCAATTATTTCTGGGTAATGATAATGTAGCGTATTAGTGGCGTTCTCTTCGTGGATTCTAACGATCTTGTCTGAAATTAAGTCCGAAATGCGGAAGCTCACATATCAACTCTTATTTTTGTGACTAATCCAAGCTTCTATACTTGCAGGCAACATTCGAATGTCTGATGAAGACCTATGGATTCCTTACCCCAGACTTCTGGAAGGAGACTCGATTCTCGAAAACACCTTTCCAAGAGTACACCGACCTTCTCGCAAAGCCCACAAGCAAGATTGTTCACGTTGTTGATGAAGTCGAGGCCTGAGCTTGATCTATGAACCTAAATTGTTAGGATGTTTTTGTTTTAGTTTATAAGTTCAAACTTTTTCTCTTATGTTTTGTTGGATACTTCCGTTTATTCCCCCGGTTTATTTTTTTTTATGACAAACAGGTATGTTTATCTTTAAATTGAGTTGGGATACTTGTCTTGGTTTTTGCTTTCGTTGAAGAGATTTTGTCTGTCTTGATTCATTCAAGTGTTTCTGAGAAATGTTTTTGTGTTGGTTTTTCATTCATAAGTTAGTAACAAACTCATCACTGTTAAATGAACAAATCTTGCAGTTATAAGAATGTTCAAATATTAAACCAATTAACATATATGTGATAAGTATTTGCGGTATTACGAGAATGTAATCTAATTTATCATCGAAAATTGTATATTTTTTGCTAGATGTATTTGAATTAGGGTTTATCTCATTTTCTTATATTAGGATTAAGGAAAATGTTTTACTCTAAAAAAAAGTAAAACACTTAATTAATAAGGGTAAATTACGACACCTGAGGTAATGTTAAACTAAAACTTCCTCATGTTTGGGGTAATTTAGCCACTTCCCTTAACTATGAATCTTACTAATCTTACTACACGTCAATATTTATGGTGTCAAATTTAACATAATTTTCTAGATTTCGTGGAATGTTTTCTAGTATGTATTTGTTTTGTGCTTTATATGACGTTTTTTATGCGCCACAATCTTACGATCATCTTGTTTCACGAAATATGGAGCTCGAATGAGATAACATGACTGCAAACTGGAGAATATTCCACATAATCGAAAGGATTTCATTAAATTTGACACTACAAAAATGGGTAGTTGATGGTAATTGTAATATAAAAACATGAGGGTATTTTCGTAATTTAACATTACTTTAGGGGATTGGCCGTAATTTATCAAATTAATAAAGAATCCCAACTTTGGAACTGTGACGCGGCACAAGTACCGGTATCAAAAAAATTGATAGAAAAGCACAAGTGCTAAAATTTTAATTTAATTATTGAATTTGGTAATTAATAATACAATAGTAGTTCTTATGTTTTAGCATTAAAAACATTAAAATAAAATTAACGTAGTTTACATACTCTTTTTAGAGAGAGAAAGAATGTGGGTCTGATTTCTCTCTCTTCTCCCCCCCCCCCCCTATATTTACCACATTTGTCTACATGTGTTAATTTCTGATTTCTCAGGACTTTTTGATTTTTGAGCTCAGGTTTTTGCAGCAAGCATGGCTTCTTCTGGGACTTTTCTTCTCTTGTAGAGAACGTCGGAACAGCTCTCCGCCTGCATGCAAACTCATTTCTCTCTCCGCCACTTCTCTCTCTTTCTCGCCTTCTTAATTTTCTCCCTGTAAGTCTCTCTCTCTCTCTCTCCCTTTCTTTTCTCTGTTAATTCGCCTTTTCATTTTTTTTTAAAAACAGACCAATGCATTTCCGTTCGTTTGATTCGGCTCGCTTATTGATTTTGGGTGCCCAAAATGTAATCTTCATCGCATTTTCTGGGTTAAGCTTTCTTCAATTTGATCGGCTTCCAATTTTTTTTTCATTTAATTTGATAGATTGAAGGGCTGCATTTCATGCGAAATTGGGGGTTTAGGGATTCGTTCGCCGCTGTTAATTAAAGGGTTTTTAGGATTTAATTTTAAGAGAAAGGGGGATACAAACGAGGCAATTGAATGGTTGCTCAGAGAATGAGATCTCAAGGTGTTTGTAATAATCGCTCTGAGGAAACTCAAACCCAGACCCCAACCCAAACCCAAACCCAAACCCGTATCCATGACCCGAAATCGAACCCGTTGGCTAGACAAGGTTCCTTGTACAGCCTCACTCTCGATGAGGTGCAGAACCAATTGGGAGATTTGGGGAAACCCCTCAACAGCATGAATCTCGACGAGCTTCTCAAGACTGTGTGGACAGCCGAAACCAACAATCACACAGCGGAAGGTGTCGACTACACACAGTCGCCACATCATCAGCCTGCACAAGTCTCGTTTCTGAATCGACAATCTCGAGATCTGAGCAAAAAGACCGTCGATGAAGTGTGGCAAGATATTCAGGAGGGGCAAAAAAGGGACAGCCTCGACCGTACAGTGACGCTCGGTGAAATTACATTGGAGGATTTCTTGGTCAAGGCAGGGATTGTCGCTGAGTCACCACTAGGAAAGAAGAACACGGGCTCGGTCGATCCGATTGGGCTGCCACCTCAGCAAGCGCAGCAGTGGATGAATTATTCAATCCCCTCATTACATCCTCCTCCACCTCAGCAGCTGCCTGTCTACATGCCAGGTCATCAACAGCAGCCAATTCCTGTTATGGAGAATGTTTATTCTGAAAACCAAATGGGCTCAATGTGTTCGTCACCTTTGATGGGCACTCAATCGGATACTCAGATGCCCAGACGAAAAAGAATTGCTAGTGGTGAAATAGTCGAAAAGACTGTTGAGAGGAGGCAGAAAAGGATGATCAAGAATAGGGAATCTGCAGCTAGGTCACGAGCGAGGAAGCAGGTTTTGTCGATTTTTATTTTCTTTAAATTCTTTCTTTTTTCGGCTATAGGCATTTATTTATTGTTTTTATGTTTACTTATTTATGTCCAGGCCTACACTCACGAGCTGGAGAACAAGGTTTCACGCCTGGAGGAGGAGAATGAAAGGCTCAAGAGACAACAGGTTCGTTTCGCGTACTGTATTCAACGTATCGGAATTTTTGTTAATTTTGGTAACTTAGTTTCATTACATATCTTTTTGCATTGTAAATTCGTGTATGTCTGGTTGGGCGGAGTTTAATTGCGCGATTCAATTTAATAGTTTATTTATCCAAAGTAAACCACTGCTTTAAACATCAAGTGTATCGACTATCTTGGATATCACTATAACTTATAGAACCATGATATATAACATTTACAATCCTTCTATTTTTATTTATTCTTATTGTTTCATCATGTATTCTCCTTTCGTTCCGTCTGATCGTGCATAACATAACAACAAGGCTGGTGAAAATCTGTTCATATACTTTGCTTAGCTTGTTAAAGATTCTACTTTGAGTGCTAGTATTTTAGTGGGGAATGAAATTGAACGGGCAACTGCTATTGAATGTCATTTTCTTCCTCTCGGTTTTTTTTTTAAATCGTATAATTATTGAGAAAACGAAAAGTATGTGATAATCAAGGTCCTTAAGAACTCTCTTTAGTCTTTACTCATACTTAGTTTCTAGTTTCTTCTTAGTACGGTTGAACCAAACATGAGAAACTTTATTGTCTAAATTGACCAATTTCGATTTATATACTGACCATTAAGAATTACAAGACTGCCATTCTTTAATTTCTTTTTCTCCTTGATAGAAAATCTGAACCAGACTCAGTTTACTTCGACAAATGCTGTCTCATTAGGTAATAAGTAATATTAAATATGCAAAGTATGTGGAATTGTGCACCGAGGGTAACTGTGGCAATTGAATTAGACTTGTTTTTGTCGTGACAATATGTTCAAGAAAACATAGTCTGTTTACCACCAATGAAATATACGGCCCTTTTACGGCAAAAATCCGGTTCTTTTTATCTTTCGTTAGCTTTTAGTATCAATGCATCTCATTAGATGTTTCTACTTTTCACTATTACACGTATTTGTGTTAATATTTTTTGTAATAGATATTATGTGTATAATACATGGAAATGGATATTTAATTGTGCATGCAGGAATGGGAGAAGGTGTTGCCGAGTATACCACCACCAGAGCCGAAGTATCAACTTCGTAGAACGAGCTCATCCCCTATATGAGGATCGTGTAGATTTTATTGCGTTGTATTCTTTTTTTTTTTTTTTTTTTTAAGTTATGAGTAGCCAGTGTTAGTTTTTTTTATTTCCCCTTCGACTTTTTAACTTTTTAATATCTGTTTGGTGTAGTGGTTGTATGTACATTTTTATAGTACTAACCAACATGGAATTGTATGGAAACTATTTATGGTGATTTAGGTGATAGTTGCCATGAAATTTTGCTAGCCTATCTTTTTGTTTATGTTGTTCTTGGTACTTAATTAATCCGATGAGCAGACTATATATGTAATCGGTGGTATTCGGTAGTCTGTGAATTTGAATTGGTATATTAATATATATTACTTGCCATTTAGAGTGAAATTTATAAAATTAATTTATTGGGATGTTGTTTATAAAATTTACTGGTGAACAATGTAAGACAATAGATAACAAGATAAGAAGAAATTGATTTCACCTTTTCATGTTGATGATAAGTTGGAGTTCATCAACAAGATTTGTACATGATAAATGAACATTATATTGTTGTCTTCCAAAAAAAAAAAGGCTATAAAACATCCAATATTATAACCACTATATTGTATATATCACTCATCAGAAAAGAAAAATGGACAAGAAACTGCAGATGATCACCTTATTTTTGCTGCTACTATTCGTCTCTGGTATACTCTCTCTCTCTCTCTCTCTCTCTCACACACACACACACACACACAATATGGTTTGCTGATTGAAAACATATATGCAGGAGTTGTAGTTAATGTGGATGGCAGAAAAAACTGCGACCACGGATCGGCATCGAAGTGTTTACCAAAGGAGACATGCGACCCACGTATTTGTGCGATCATATGTAGTGGCTTTGACGATTATGAATGCGATCCCAGATGTATTTGTTGGTGGGGTTGCCGCAACTCCACCACCACCCCCACCACTCCCCTCACTCATCACCACCCACCACCACCACCACCACATCTTCTTTCCTCCAGCTTTCGGCGTGTAGTTTGTATGTAATGAATCCATGCATGCATTACATTATTATTTGCGAAAGATTGCAATATATTATACATGCCCTGTTTCATGAGATTGCAGAAACTTGTGCCAATTAAATAATAATAAATTTCTCTTGTTGTTCATCTGCTATTCTCTACACTAGTTTGCCTTGTAAACAAACACATAATATAAACAGTAAATCAAAACAAAGTCTGAAATTATACGGACTAACTAATCAATCAATTAATAAGGGAGCACTGCAATGTATTATCAGTAACAAACATTAATAGTCGTATTAAACGCGATCACGTGCAAGTGATTATTATTACAAACCAGTAGAGTATATATTAGAGAGAAAGCTTATCATACGAAACATGAAATAAAAAAAAACTGCGGTTCTAACTTGTACCACTTATTAATAAGAGAACCTTATTGAAATATATTCATATAGAAGTACTTAATTATTGCTGATCAGTCCTCAAGCACACGATCTTCCGATGATTCACCAATTTCAGCCAGGCCATGAGATGCTTTGCGAAGGAAAACGGCATCCGCGTTTTTGCTGCTACAGTAAAGACACGGATGCTGCGGATACTTTTTCCTGTTACCCAAAATACCCCTGGCCTTGTTTACCAATTTTTTGTTTGTGATAGGGGCAGGGTGCCCCTTAAGAATTGCTACGACAGTTTTAGTAAAAGCACCACCTGCAGGACCGTTTTTATCTGCAGGATCATCGATAGTGTCCTCACTAGGCTCACTGCCACTCAGCAGAATGCCCTGGTCGATTTTCAACGGCTTTGGATGCTGATCTGGAGGCAGCCTGAACATGATGCTGGCTTCCGATCCGAACAATTGGAACAAGTGCGCTCCAATGTCCGGATCGTTTAGCCCTGTCCTGGCCGACAAGTTTGCCATATAGGACTCATAAGGAATCATTTTAGGTTTATTCTCACCAACACATGTCTGATCTTTAGGAGGCTGAACAATGTACGGTTGCCCGACCTGCACTGGTTCTTGGTCAATGAGTCCACCACTGCAGCACGAATCAGCCATTATAGTGAACGTTGCCTTTTTGGGCAAACGGTTCACGTAGTACCTAAAGTCCATGCCTGCAAAATTTTATATAATGCATGCAAACAATTATTATTATTAAAACAGAGAAACATTAATTAAATTAATGATTTAAATTATAATAAAATAACAATAACACTTACATGTAATAAGATTGTCATCAGAAGGGACAATGGCCTGCTTAATCTCTCCATTGTGACAAATAGGCATGCCATGGCCAGAGAAGTAGAAGAACAGCCTATCTCCCTCGTCAGCATCTTCGATCATTTTCTTCAGTTGTTTCTTGATATTCGCAGCAGTCGGCATTTGCTTGCTTCCGGGCTTGTCCACCATAACCACGATTCTTTTCGGGTCAAACCGGAATCTTTTTATCAGTGTGTTGTGCATGTTATACACGTCGTTGTGGCATCCAGACAGATTTTCTTTCGGATTCGGATAGTTGTTGCAGCCCACTAGGATAGCCTTCTTCGCCACCTCTTTATTACTCACGGGTTTTTTCTCCGCCTCCATCGGAAAATCGATCAAACAAAGGACTTTGGTTGTTTTGAGAGAATTATTTAATAAGTGGACTTTGGTTGCAAGTTGTGATCTAATTGATGATCATTTTGCATCTACTTATAATGTTTATGTGTTGTGCACAAATTAAGCTTATCTTTTTTCTAATAAAAATTAAGAAAACAATAAACACAAAATTAAATATCTTGAAGGTGGTGAAAAGAATATGCCTTGCTTATTTTTCTTAATTAATTCACTTGATTTGCATCTATTTATATTGTGTTTCTCTTAACAGTAATTAACTCCTGGCTGGTTAATTAAGACAATTCTTTAACCTGAAGTTACTACTAAAAACATTAAGGTATGTTTGCATATATGTAATAAAATATGCTTTTCCTTGCCAACTGAAATTTCTCAAAACGATTATTAGTTGCATTACTGTTGGACTTCAAATTCAATTCATACCAAAATTTACAATATGACCAACTAAATGTGTTTAGCATATTTAACTTTAATATATCTAATTGACTTTACAACTCATTAATTCACACTTCTGCTAATCTTTAATAAATGTAAGGAATTATTAACTGTACCACTACATATTTACAATAACATTATATGATTTCCATGTAATATCATTCCGCAAAAATAAATTAATTAATAAATATATATTTCCCCTAGTACTTTACTAGGATTTCTAATGTACTTTGCACTTTTGGAACAAATGGAAACTTTTCATACATTTCCCGTAGTACTTTTTCACTTTTCATTTCTTTATGTCTCTAATTAATCGAGTACGGATTAATAAATAATGTGCCCATGTTTTTTTTTTCAGGTATTCAATGTAAATTTGGATGATTAACTAAGAAAAAAAAATTAAAAAATCACAACAAGTGAGTTAATGATTATAAATTTGAGAGTAAATTACAACTACCTCCCTGAGGTAAAGTGTAATTACGGAAACCCCTTATTTTTAAGAAATTACATCCACCCCCTATAAAAGGGTGTTAATGTAAGAAATCTTCAGATTTCAGGGGATGGATGTAATTATTAAAATATGAGTAGGGTTTTCGTAAATAGGCCTTACCTCAGGGAATAATTGTAATTTACCATAAAGTTTATATGATATTGAAGGCTCGGCCCAATATATGAGAAACATCAATTGGCCCAATAGATATTGTTTAAAAAGGCCACACTAAATCTCCACAGTAAATATCAATTAAATTTCAAACACGTGTCCTTATTCTTTTGTGTGCCAAATAATCTCATCTAATGGGCTCAAAGCAATTAATTCAGGTGGAATAGATGGGGTCAATATTAATTATCAGGCCCAATAAAGTCATTTTACGTTCATAATTAGCCCATTAGTCTGAAAACAAAACAAAATTTGCCCATGCACACTCTTTTAAAACAAAACGACACCGTTTCGGCAGTATTCTTCAGCGTTTTGTAATCCTTGAATAACGATGGAGTCTGAAAGGAATGGGATTTGATTTGGCAATTATTTCATTTAATTATTTTGTTATTCGTAAAATTAGGTGTGAGAGAGATAAGTTGAGATTATTACAAAATAAATTAGTGCAGACATACATTAAATAACGAGATGAGAGTAAAATTTAATTTAGAATTTTAGTGTTGATCATGATAAGTTCAGATTTGTACAACATAATTAATGCAGTACATTTTAATTATCTGCGAAGAAACTGCTATAAAACATTCAAGTTTTTGTAACCACAATTGTATCACTCATCACACATGAACAACATGGACAAGCAATTCCAGATTGTCATCTTATTATTGCTGTTACTAATATTCGTCTCTGGTACTTTGGACTCTCTCTCTCTCTCTCTCTCTCTCTCTCTCTCTCTCTCTCTCTCTCTCTCTCTCTCTCTCCCTCTCCCTCTCTCTCTCTCTCTCTGAGTCTCACACACACACACACACACACACACAACCATGTATGAAATAATAAATTGCAATATTGATGGTCAATATATATATATATATATATATATATATATATATATATATATATATATATATATATGGATGCAGGAGCAGTGGAGGGCGGAAAAAACTGCACGCGCAAATACAGAACAAAGTGTTATCCAAAGGAGAAATGCGAGCCCCGCGCTTGTGCCATATTCTGCAGTGGATTTGAGGATTTTGAATGTGACGGTGGCTGTATTTGTTTGAGCGGTTGCGGGCCCCACAACTCTACCACCACCAGTAGTAGTACCCTCACTCCTCCCAACCACCCACCACCGCCTCTTCCATTCTTCAGCCGTCCTTGTATGGTCTAACTATAATCCATGCACAATAATTACTCAATCTTCTTCATATATATATATATATTGTTCTAATCGAATAAATTCATCATTTGCATTACACTTTTGTCTTGTAAACACACACACACACACACACACACACACACACACACACACACACACATATATATATATATACCCCACACTTTTCTCTTACAATATTAGTGACAAAATTAAAGGAAGATAAGAGTCTAATACACACGAAATAATCAATCAACTAACAAGAGATGTATTCTATTACTAGTACCAATATGTCCTCATCATCAAATTATTTAATATTGATGCATACAAATAAAATTGATTACTAGTAAGTAGTGACCATTACAAACCAGTATAGTAATATATAGAGAAATATTAATTAATTAATTATTGTAACATGAAATAAAAAAGGAGTGGTTCTAGCTATAAGGTGAAAATGGGAAGAATTTTGCAAAACAAAGTTAATTTTGTAAAGCCGTGGGCCAAAGAGGACGTGTCTTAAAAAACAACTCGTAAATTCTGTCAAAATGGCGAAAATGGGGACAACTTAAGAAAACGAAAACTACTTTGAAAACGGGTCAAAGAAGACTGCATGTTTACGAAAATGGGTATACAGACAAGAGAGACTATAGTTTATAGACAAGAGAGACTATAGGTTATACAGTACAGACAAGAGAGAGACTACATATTGCAAATTTCAAACATGATCAACGGAAAATAAGGGTCTAAATAAGGAATCACACCTTGGAAAAAGCCGAAACAAACCGAGTGCCATGGTTTTATCAATGGTACACTGTTGACTTGATCTTCAGAAGAATGAACAATCCAGCTGCGTTATGAACAACTTCTAAAGCAAGAGGGCAAAATTCATTCCCCTGCAAAATGTTGAAATGTAGTTAGCGAGAAATTACAATTCATAATGGAAATGATATTTAACTACTAAGAAAAATATAAACAAACTGAAAATCAGCTACTCAATTACGGTTCATTCATCAAAGCTCAGGCCTCGACTTCACCAATTACTTGAACAATATTGTCTGGTGGGATTTGCGATAAGAGCAGTGTACTCTTGGAAAGGTGTTTTTCAGAATCGATTCTCCTTTCAAAAGTCTCGAGTTAGGAATCCATAGGCCTTCATCAGACGTTCGAAAGTTACCTGAAATTATGAAAGCTTGAATTAGTAACCATAATGAGTTACTCTATGAGTCAATGCTGTATGATTGAGGAAACACAAACGAATCAACTAAACAATACAAAATAATCATATCAACCAGTTAAACATCATCTTAAGAGTAACCAAGGTAAAACATCATCTAAAAGAGCAATCCCGATGAAACATCCTCTTAATCTTAAAGAACAATTACGGCTACACACCATCTTACAGAATAATCACAAAAAAAAAATCGTATTAGAGAGCACTCCTAATATCATCGTTTAATTATCATGAGTTAAATGATTCTATCAACAATACACCAAATCAAATTAGCATCTAACAAAAGTTATGGTACAATTACATTGACAAGCTCATGAGTGCTAACTGTCATATACTATTTGGATTAACCAACAAAGGGAACAATTGACAAGATAAGAATACACAATGCTACTTCGAATATAACACAAACTAAACTGCAAGCATACGAAACACCAATAGAAGGATGGGAAAAAAAACACGAAATTGAATGCAGCAGGAAATGATTGACCTCAGTTTCCGAGGTAAAAACATCCTCTACTCCGGGAAACTGAAGAACCTTGTTACGTGTGCACACGCGCCGCCACAATTCCAGATGCACGAGGCGCCGGAACCATCGTCACAGTAACAGATCCACACTTGCCGGTCAGATTACACAGCGGCTTTCCGATATTGTTACCCCCAATATATATATACACTCTCCTCCTCCATGATTGGGATTGGGAGAGAGTGGAGGTTGATTCGCTCAATTGATTTGATTTTACCGTCTTTCACCAAACAGAGTTTTTTATTGTTAGTAATCATACTCAACAAAGTTATTCTCAAAAAAAAAAAAAACAATTTGATAAATTAGCATTAATATAATGGTGGATTAATGAAACTAGTACTTCACCCGTGCGTCGCACGGGAAATTCATTATAAAAATAAATATTTAATTTTAAAAAGTTCTCGGAATAGTAAGATCAATGTGCAATACAAAGTTTAAAAAAAATTATTTCATGTAAATAACAAATTCAGCCAAAATAAGTGAAAAAAGCTAAATATCGAAGGTTTAATTTCCGTATACAAATGGCGAGTACATCGTTATCATTACCGTTACCAACACTATTACCATTATCATTACCATTACCAATACCAACACCAATATCAACACCGTTACCGTTACCATTACCATTACCATTATCATTGCTATTATCATTACGATACCAATATTGATATAGATAACGATACAAATACCGATACTCATACCAATACCAATCATTACCATTACAACTACCATCACCATTATCATTATCATTACCTACCATTGTTAATACTAATACTAATCTGATAATAATATTATTACTATTAGTAATCCTAATGCTAATCTTAATCATAACGTTAACGCTAATCCTAACCATAATTCTAATCCTAGTACTACACCCAATCATTATTCTAATCAAAATTATAATCATAATCCTAATACTAATATTAATGTTAATCTTAATTCTAATACTAATTCTAATTCTAATTATAATCCTAATCCTAATAATAATACGAAGCATAATTTTAATTCTTATAGAAATGCAAATATGCTATTGCTAACACTAATTTTAATATTATTCTTAATATACTAATGCTAATGGTAATGTTAATCCTAATTCTAATCATAATTCTAATTATAATGCTAGTAATATTAATAATCAAAATGCTAATATATCGCAATACTAATATTCATACTAATATGCTAATAATAATGCTAATGCTCATCACAATACTAAACTAATACTTATATGCTAATGCTAATGCTAATCATAATATACTAATGCTAATGATAATCGTAATTCTAGTTCTACTGCCTATTGCTAGTACCAATGTTAGTCCTAAACTAATGCTACTAATCCTAGTTCTAATGCTAATGCTAATATTAATCATAATCCTAATCTTACGTATAATTATAATGTTAATTCAAATGCTAATGTTAATGCTAGTTCTAATTATAATTCTAATGTCAGTGCTAAGTCTAATAATAATAATCATAATCCTAATCAGTCTAATAATAATAATCATAATCCTAATCATAATCATAATAATAATCATAATCGTAATCTAATCCAAATCCTAGTAGAAATAATCATAATACTTACTAATACTAATATTAATACTTACTAATACAAATACTAATACTAATGTTATTACTCATGGCCGTTCCTGAGAATTTAGGGGCCCTAGGCGAGATTTAAAAAACAACTTAAAACCGGGGTCCCTATTTGACAAATCAATTTTATTAAAGGATGTTCCAAATTAAATATACTAAAAACATATAAATAATATTTTCTAAAAATGATGAAATAAAGATTACGGGGGTTCAAGGGCAGTGCCCCCGAAACATTTTTTGAAATGTATGAACATAAAATAACTTCAAATATGGAAAAAAAAAATCAAAATTAACAGGATGATTTGCTGGATCACTTCCTCCCGTGACGTATATTCTTTATAGAAAATAAACTTCATAAATATTTATAAAACTTAAATAGACTAATGAATAATGATTCTTATTTTAGGTATAATAATAAATAATTAACACATTATAAATTTAATATTTAGGGGCCCCAAGGTTAAGAAAATTGAAAAAAATATCTATTGATCATTTATATTAAATTTATTTTAGAATTTATGTTCAAATTTTAAAAAATAAGTATTCATATATAAAGTGTATATAACATAATTTGGGGGCCCTAGGCGACCGCCTACTTCGCCTCCCCCAAAACCGGCCCTGTTAATACTAATACTAATACTAATACTAATACTATAGTCATATTAAAACTAATACTAATGCTAAGCTAATACTAATATACTAATCCTAATATATTAATGTTAATCATAATATATTAATGCGAATTCTAATGTCATTATTAATATTAATGGTACTCCTAATTATAATACTAATGTTAATACCAATCTTAATGCTAATGCTAATACGAAACTAATCTTAATCCTAAGACTAAATATAATTCTAATATTAATACAAATTCTAATCCTTATCATAATCATAATCCTAATACTAATTCTAAAATGGTAATGCTAATACTAATGGTAATGCTAATGTTGATGATAATATTGATGTTGATGCTAATTAATGCTAATGTTAATACTAATGGTAATGCTAATGATAATCTTAATACTCATGTGTATACTAATATTAATATTAATCATAACATTAAATAAAATCAGACATATTTATTCCATAATTAATTAATATTTCCTTTTAATAGTGCACAAAAAATAATTAGGAGTACAAAAAATCCGTTTACTCCAATTAAAACATATATCTATGAAGTAATATATGGAAAAGGAATTGATGACATGTTTACTTTATAATTTATTTCCATTATAAATTGCCGTTTATCCATTTTTTTTAAATCTAGTAGTTAGTAATATTAACAAAATAGATATTTTATAAATAATTTATCAATATTTAAATGGGTTTAGGTTAGTTAAAATAACTAAAATCGTTGAACACATCTAATTCACTAAACAATTACTTATTGTAAATTTTCGTTTATCCATTTTTCAAATTATTTGTCCAGTGATAATAACAAAATAGATATTTTAAATGTAATTTATATATTTGTGATTTTATGTTATTCAGAGAAATTAATAACGTTCAATGCACATAATTCACCGAACAATAACCTAAAATTTTAAAATAATTATTTCACTATGAAATAAATAAACAATTATTACTTTTCCAGTATGAAATGTCATTTAATCATATTTAAAAATATTTTATCTGGTTGTGGTATCAACATGAGTATTTCAAAAATTATTTTCCAAAATTTGAATGAGTTTATTTTAGTTGAGGCAACTAAAATAGTTAAAAACACAAAATTCATCGAACTATAACTTACAATAAAAAATATTATTTTCCCATTATAAAATATCGTTTACCATTTTCTTAAATGTTGTTTCTAGTAATGCGAACAGTATAAATATTTTAAAAATTATTTATCCCTATTTAAATAAGATTTAGATTTTGTCAAGACAATGAAAATAGTACAACACACATATATAATTCACCAAACAATAATTAAAAATGTTACCTAGTTTTTACTTTTCTATCTAGTTGCAATAAGAAAAATAATATTCTAAAACTACTTATCCCAATTTAAGTGAAATTAGGTTTATCAAAACAATTAAAATAGTACTACACATAGTTCACTAAACACAATTAAAAGGTAAAATTATTTGTTCACCCATTTTTTAAATATTGTATTATTGTTTATGGTTTAGCGGAAAAAAGTAAAAAAAAAAAAAAAAAAACATGTCGCAACTTGTATATTAGGATAATTCATTAGATAATTGAAATTATATTGCAAGAATACCTATTAGGATGTCAAAGAAAAATATATGAGATAAAGGTATTTGAGGATAAATTGTATGTGTATAAATAAAAAAGGAACAAATCAGTTAAAATTGAAAATGCGTAATTAATGGGATTGTCATTGAATGAATGAAACATAGAGTGTAGGATTTATATTTTTATCAACAAACTTAAATGTTATATATTGACCACATTTGATTGGTGGTTTTCTAGTAAGTAAATCCAAAGTAAGTCTTAATTAGACTTAAATTTTTACTCAAAAAAAAAAAAATTAGACTTAAATTTGAATAATTCAATTGAAATAAATAAATAAACAACGTAGTTATTTGTTTTATATGTATTTATCCGTTTAGAAAACTCAAAATAAAATATTAAAGATTAACCTAAGTTGAATGGTGGTTGTATCCAAATTAAGCAATAGTTAAACTATTTTGAATATTTCGATTGGAACAAATTAATAAATAAATAAATAATTTATTTACTATTTGTTATGAATAAATGGTTAAATATAAATATGTAGATATGTAATTGATTGTCACATTCAGATGTGAAAGTCGGATCGAATGCATTAGAATTATCCTTTTCGAGAAATTTCCATTTTTGGACGTATGAAAATCAATTGCAATTTCAGTTTCAATTTTTAGTATGTAGTTTGTTTTAACGAATATTGATGAAAATCAATTATTAAAAAATATATATAAAATGAGGTTTTATATGTGTGCAGGGTGTGCAAAATAGATAAGACAATTAATCAAATAAATTATTAATATCATTGTTTTTGAATTTTAATATCTAATTTCATGAAAATATTGAAAAACAGGTAAAATACTTTTTTTAAACAAATCATTGTGAAATCCATTGATATAAACAGTAACCGAGGAAATAAATCACCAAGAAAATAAATCTAGTTTAAAATACGGTATATTAGTCTACTTTTTGCTACTATTTAAAATGTGCATGGATACCATAAAATCGTGAAATATTTAGAAAATGAAAATAAATTTAAAAAAATAAAGAATGGATTTCCACTTTTATATAAATATATAAATATGATTCAAAGTCGTTAAACATTTGAACAAACTTTTGAATGGAATTATTAAAAAATAGAAATAAAAATGAATAGTGAATCGAATTTTATATTAAAAATAATGGGAAACAATAATAAAATGCTACAAAATTATTGAAATAAAATTATATGAAAATAAATAGCATTAACATTAGGAGTTGTTTAAAATATGAAAATAAAACCAAAACTAAAAGAACATAATATACAAAAAGAATAATTCAAACTTATTAAAAAAATGTATAAAGATTTGAATGGATATATTAAAAAAAAGTGAAATAAAATAGAATGGTAATTTAAAATATATTTTGAAAGCAATAGAAATAAATAAGTAAATAAAAATGATAAAGCACCATTAAAATAAAATTGTATAAAAATTATAATAATAAAAAACGGAAAAAACAACACTAACAAAATATCATCAGCCAACTTTTTTCTTCTTTCATTTCTTGCTTCTGGCGTCGGAGTGAGGTGAAGATGAAGATAAAAACGGGTGGATAATTTTGCTTTGGTGTTGGATGGGAAATGTGGTTTTATACTTGTATTGAATATGATAATTAAGTTAAATATGTATAAATAAGGAAATAACCATTTATTATATAATTAACATAAATGCTGATATTCAAATTTGTAAGAAAAAATAAAAGATATGATTGGGCAAATCAAAGGAAATTCGAAATTTCCTTATTAAATATCAATATAAAATTTATTTTATAATTAACATAAATGTAATAAAGAAATTATTTTTTTGAAATAAGTTAAATAATAAATAAGACAAAATGTAATAAAAACTAATTAAGGAAAGAAATCCACAAATAAAAGAGATGAAAAGATTTGGGATCAAAATTGAAGATGTCAAAACTTCAATTGTGTATTCTCCCTTTATATATTATATAGATGAAGATTGATGTAGATGAAATTAGGCCCATATTCTCACATATTGGGTGTACTATTTTAAGTCCACTGGGCCAACAGGCTGTTAAATATATTTGTGCAAACTTAACGAAAGTATTAAACACATTTGAAATAGCATAGTTTGAAATTACAAATATAGAGTAATTTAAAATTTTGGAGTCTTGAGTAATTAATATTTCGAAAGGGACCAAAATTGAAAATAATAAAATCTATTGGGGCCAAAATGCAAGAGTAAATTTGGAGCTGATGACAGGACATTATAACAAGATAAGAAAGAAATTAATTTGACCTTTTATCAGCTTGATGGTAATTAAGTTGGAGTTCATCCACAAGATTGGTGCATAATTAATGCAAATTATATTGTTCTCTTCCAAAAACACAAGCTATATATAAAACATGCTATGTTATAACCACTATTATTACGTTGTGTACCACTCATCAGAAAAGAAAAATGGACAAGAACCTGCTGCATATGATGGTCACCTTATTATTGTTGTTACTATTTGTCTCTGTCTCCGTCTCTGGTACTCGACTCTCTCTCTCTCTCTCTCTCTCTCTCTCTCTAGACACACACACACATGAAGACACATGTTACACACAACTATTGTTGGATGATTGAAAACATGCATGCATGCAGGAGCTGGAGACGGTCGCATCCTATCGAAAAGGTGCAAGAAAGGAATGAGAACGAGGTGTTATCCAAAGGAGAAATGCGAGCCCCGTGCTTGTGCCATTTTCTGCAGCAGATTTGAGGATTTTGAATGTAACTATGGCTGTGTTTGTCTCTCCGATTGCGGGCCCCACAACTCTACCACCCTCACTCCTCCTCCTCACAACCACCCACCACCACCTCTTCCCATCTTGATCAGCTTCCGTCGTTGTATGGTCTAACTATATATAATCCATGCGTACACTTTATATTCAATTAATGGGGTATTATATTCAAAAGAGAAATTTATTTCATTAGAAATATGAATGGAAGAAGTAAATGAATGTATCTTTTATCAATAGCTATAAGTGATAAATTTCACCAATTGTGGTATATTTCATTTGATTCACATTTTCCACCGCCATAATTTATTCCTCTTTTTTTTTCTTTTTCTTTTATTATATATATATATATATATATATATATATATATATTTCAATATAAAATTATCTTGTATATTTGTTAGTTGTAGTGCATGTGTGAAAGCATGCAACATACTATATATGCTAATGAATTTCTCTTTTGCATCTGCTATTTTATACTTTGCCTTGGAAACACACACACGCGCGTAAATTACAATCCCCACCCTGAGGTAATTAAGGTCTATTTACAAAAAAAATCCTCATTTTCCATAATTACACTCACCCCCTAACAATCTGTAGATTTCTTACATTAACACTCTTCTGTAGGAGGGTGGATGTAAGAAATTTCAAACTGCAAGGGGCTGAAGTAATTCCTCAAAATGAAGGGGGTTTTCGTAATTACACTTTACCCATCCTTTTCTCTTACAATAGTAGTTACAAAATTACATAATCAAATGGTCATGTGTAAATTGTAGGTAAAAGAAGAGAAGAGTCTAATATATATACGAACTAATTAATTAATCGATCAATTAGTAATAAACATAGCGATGAATTAATTACTAGTAACAATGTCCTGATCATCATGATCATATTAATATTAGTGCATACATATAGAACTAATTAATTAATGCAAGTAGTGACCATTACAAGCCAGTAGAGTATATGTAAAGAGAAAGCTTAAGACAACATACATGAACTAAAAAGCAATGGTTCTAGCAATTAGTAATTACTTATTAAGAGAACCTTATTGCATAGTAGAGAAGTACTTATTGCTGATCATTCCTCAACCATATAAACAGTAAAGGAAGACAAAGTCTAACATAAAACGGAATAATTAATCAGATCAAATAATAAGGGAACACTGAAATGTATTATATATCAGTAACAAACATTATACATGTTCTCATCATATTCATATTAATATTAATCGTAAATTACGCGATCACTTGCAAGTGATAATTATTATAATCAGTAGATTATTATATAAAGAAAGCTTATAACATGAAATGAATATAGCTAGTAATTAATTATTAAGAGAAACTTATTGCATAGTAGAGAAGTACTTATTGCTGATCATTCCTCAACCACACGATCTTCCGATGTTTCACAAATTTCAGCCCGACCAGGGGACGCTTTGCGAAGGAAAACAGCATCCGCGTTTTTTCTGCTACAGTAAAGACACGGATGCTGCGGATCTTTCTTCCGGTTACCCAAAATGCGCCTGGCCCTGATAACCAAATTCTTGTTTGTAATAGGTGCAGGGTGTCCATTGACAATCGCTGCGACAGTTTTAGTAAAAACCCCACCGGCAGGACCATTTTTATCTGCGGGTTCGTCAGAAGTTAACTCATTAGGTTCACAGCCGCTCAGTAGAATTCCCTGGTCGGCTTTCAGCGGCTTCGGATGCTGATCTGGACGCAGCCTGAACAAGATGCTGGCTTCCGAATCGAACAATTTGACCAAGTGTACCCCAATGTCCGGACTGTTTAGCCCTGACTTGGACGACAGCTGTGCAAGATACACTTCGTAAGGGAGCTTCCTAGGTTTATAGTTGCTGTCTTCATTATTAATCCTAGGATTATTGTAGGGTAGCAGCCCAACCTGCACAGGCTCTTGGTCAATAAGTCCACCACTGTAGCACGAATCAGCTATTATAGTCAGCGTTGCATCTTTCGGTAAATGGTTCACATAATGCCTGAAGTCCATACCTGAAAATTAAAGCAATCAAATAATTGAATTCATTGTCCAAACAAATTAATTAAAAAACCTCGATACATATATGCGTTCATGATTAATTCTATTATATAAAAATAGATATATAGCTGCACTTACAAGTAATGTTATTGTCGTCGCAAGCCACTATGGCATGCCTTGTTAAATTCTCATTGTGTTCATCTGGGAAAGAAGTCCCATGACCCGCAAAGAAGAAGAAGAGCCGATCTCCAGGTAGGGCTTTGGCGATCATATTACCGAGTTGAATCTTTATATTCTGACCAGTGGCTCTTAGTTTCTTACTCCCTGGTTTGTCCGTCAACACCATAATCGTTTTCGGGTCGAACCCAAATCGGCCAATCAGCATCTTCTTCATCATCTTTGCGTCATTTATGCAACCATTGAGCCTACCATCACCCTCCGGATAGTCTGGATAGTTACACCCCACTAGCACGGCCTGTAACTTCACATCTCTCACGATTCCTTTCTCGTTATCCATAGGATATATATTTTACTTGCGTTTTTTTCTTCGTTTCGTTCTAGTAATAATATATATGTATGTTTGTATTTCTCAATTCTCAGAGCTCTAATTTATGGATCCATTTTATAGTGTTGTTGTGGTTAATTACAACTGCATGATCAATATAGTCTCTTTAGCCAGAAGTTAAGAATTGTATACCTTTCGTTTCTAACACAAATTTGTCGAACGATAAATATACATATTTTCCTTATCGATTCATGAATTTTGTTCTTGATGATCTATTTTAGTATGTACTGATGACACATGCACACATCACATAACAATGCTTCTTTTTATTTGTTTGCATAATATTTATCGATCATCTGGAAATTAAATCACAAAGAGACCATTCTAGTTGACTTTACAGCACATTAATTCACACTTATGGTAAACTTTAATCAAATCAATCCAAAAAATATCATAATATGATTTTGTATTATGTTTCTCTTAACAGTAATTAACACCTGGCTGGTTGATTAAGACAATTCTTTAACCTAAAGTTACTACTGAAAATATTAAGCTATATATATGTATACGTAATAATATGCTTTACCTTGCCAGCTGAAATTTCTCAAAACGATTATTAGTTAGTTGCATTACTGTTAGACTTCAAATTCAATTCATACCAAAATTACTAAAAGACCAACCAAATGTGTTTAGCATATTTAACTTTAATATATGTCTAATTGACTTTACAACTCATTAATTCACACTTCTGCAAAACTTTAATAAATTCTAAGGAATTATTAACAATATATACAAATTACGCGGGCTTCAAGGATGGCCCAGAATACATTTTCTATACAAGGCCCGAAATGAATTGGGCTTTATGAAAGAAATTAATGGTACAATATAATCTACAGAAGCCCGTTAAATCTGAAACATAATAATAATGCACAAGAACGTACGAGAAGTTATACCAAATGTCTTTCGCATGCATATTTACTTTTTAATATATCTAATTGACTTTACAACTCATTATTTCATACTTTTGCAAACTTTAATAAATGAAAGGAATTGTTAACTGTACCAGTACATATTTTCTATAATATTATATGATTTCCATGTAATATCATTCCACAAAAATAAATTAAAAACAATAAATAAATATAATTTTGTTGGCTGGTCTCTACCTCTCTAGATTCTCAATCCTTAACACTAAAACTTTGTAGTTATCGTTTGCACTTTATATTTTTCTTTTTTTTGAGTAATTGCACTTTATATTTTTCATGGCCTTTCTTGGTAAACCTGCATTAATTAGGAACTTATTAATGTTGATAAAGAAAGGCATATCTTTTCACTATATCTGGATTAAGGACATTTCATTCTATTATATCTTCAGAATGCATTTAATTATTGATCTCAAAGA